TATTATGTGTCCCTATTATTCTATTTCTGGCTAGGCCTGGAAGTAGAATTGAAAACTTCATACCGAGATTAAACTTTTGTGCGCAGAATTGATTTTTTCAACAACTATTTTCAATCTTGTTCTGTTGTGTTTATAAGATACTAGAATAAGCATATATATATGGAAAGAGAGAGAGAGAGAATAATAGAAGGTATGAGTGCATTCACAGAGACTGAGAAAACATGAATTTTTGATTACTGATAAATCTACGAAAATGAAAAAAAATACTACAGCTAAAGTAAAAGTAAAATTTATGGATAAGGAATACATCAAAGAGGAGAGAGAGATATAATGATTTATTTCTGAATATATCATCAAAGTACACATTGCAATAAAAAGAATAAACAATAATCGTAAAATATAATCGGAAGGGGATAATCAAGACTACCATAGTTTTAGTAAGCTTCTAAAAATAGATAAATCATAATTACATAAAGTATTTTTTCTCCTAAAATGAGCAAAATAAACCTGACCTCAGATGGCAGCTTAAAAATATTTATAATTCGAGTCCAAAATTTTATATTCAAATTAGTCTTTAATATATATGGTAAAACTAATGATATAATTTTAAAAAATGAGAACAAATTAGGAGGCAGATGGCCCAATATAAACAGTGATAAAGTGTTTGTTGTTGTAAATAAACTTCAGATTTAAGAGTCTGTGGAATTTGGAAAATTCTAGTTGCAAGTCATTAAATGGTGTACTTTTAGAATCTGGATTGTTGTTTTTGAATCAAATATTGTTACCTTTTTTATACAATGCTTTTAAACTAGGCCATGTAAACACATTTTTTGGTACTCCCGAAATATGTGAACCAAGATGGCGGACACCGGAGCGTAGTATGTTACCAGATTAGGGTTAGGCCATAATTTCAGGTACGAATACTACAGGAGTCACTTGGCCGGTCTAACTAAAATAAGAAAAATTGGAATAAAATTATGGCCTAACCTCAACCTGGTACACATACTACATTTCGGTGTCCGTCATCTTGGTTCACATAATTCGGGAATACCCATTTTTTATATACCACATAAATAAAAACCATGGAATGATGTTTTCAGATCTTGGGAATTTTCTGTTGATAGTATTGATATAATCTAAAAAATAATCATTCAGAATTTCAGAGTAAACATAAGGTGGTTTCTTTTTTATATACTACATAAATAAAAAACCAAGAAAATATATTTCAGATCTTGGAATTTTCTGTTGGTATTATTTATACATTCCAAAAAATTTCCCAGGGTCAACATAAGGTGTAATACGAGTATAAACAGAAGCCACAGGTTTCTGAAAAATCATTTCTAAGAAAAAATTTCCATACAAAATTTTGCAAAATGTTTGTATCAGAACAAGCATTTTAACAGGTGAACCGTGTTTCGACAGCACAATCAACAATATGACTTGCATGATTGAACATAATTCTGAAAAGTGTAATCATTTTGTATATATCATTTCTGAAAAAAAATTTCCAGAAAACCAAATTTCTGAAACATCCTTTCTAAGAATAAATTTCCATATTGAATCTCAGAAGATATCTGATCAAAACAGCATTAAACGGTGGACCGTGTTTGGACAGCACAATCATCTGAATGACATGCATCATTGGACATAATTCTGTAAAATGTTATCATTTTGTTTCACCACCTAAATTACCTTATACATATTTTTACTGAAACCGATACAGGTTACGGCAGCATAAGGCCTATTCATCAAAACAAATTAGGGAAAAACAGAAAATAGATTCCAATGGTGTCGGCGATCCTGATTTTATCTGAGGACAATATTTACAACCATATTAAGTACTACAATTTGGATTATGCAGTATTCAGGGGGCATTAGCCACTTGAGCACTAGTACTTTGACAGACCAAAATTTCTGACCTACACGTATTATCACACTTAGGGTCAAAGTTGTGAGACAGATTCTATGTTTGATTACCAAGTTGAGAGAAATCAGTGTATTTTATTCAGACCGTGGTGTTTGGCTTGACTTTATTATTGTGGGAATTGTATATTCAAAATCCTCATAATTAGTAGTTTGCGTCAAAAAAGTAGGAATAAAGCAGGGATTGGAATTAAGTGAAATTTTTTTTGATTTCATAGTTTTGATTTTTTTTGACAAAGGCAATTTACAGGCAGAACATATTTAAATACTATTTTTGAGCAAAAGAAAAAACACAATGGCAAATCTACCAGTATTACACATCCTTTGCTGGAATATTGTCTAGACTAGGCAGATACAGCAAATCTGTGTTAAGAAAACGGGTCAAGAGGAAAAAAAATTTGAGTAGACCATGACTGGGAGGATTCCAACCTTCAAAAAAATAGCTCTCCACATAGTCAGTGACTACCTGTACACCTTGAAAATGTGAAAAAGCGCTATAAAAAAACTACTTTACTAACTAAAAATCTTATGAAATTCCCCAATTTAAAAAAAATTGCCTAAAATTATTTGCATAGACTTCAACATTTTCAAAATTCAACTTGATACATAAATGATCAACATTTTATCATGCATACAAAACCACTGCGGTCTGTTTGCAAAACATGTCAAAACACCCACAGAATTGAGCTTAACATTGTTTACTCTCTGTAGATTATTTCCATATTTACACCCAACACATTAGACCACCTAGCTGCTCTCAATTGACTTTATATTAGAACATTCGGTGGTGGATGCTATAGAAAATGTTCAGCAATGTAACTTGATTTACACAGTAATATATTCAGTGCAGATTAAATTTTTAATATTCAAAAACTTCAGATTGATTTGATGTTTAATATTATTCTGTGTTTGTCTTTCCGTTGATGTTTTGTTCTCTTTGCCTCTTTTTATCTTAGGTTGAGATAGGCACAACCAGGGGCCTATCCAAGAATTTCCAAACAGGAAGGGGGGGAGGGTTGTTAAATTTCTAATTACCAAGAGAGACCGTGTGAGCTAGTGGGTCCTAGCTAGCCGAAAAATGTGGGTTTAAAGCAAGGGTGGGCAACATACGGCCCGCAACGAAATTTTGACCGGCCCGCTGACTGTATTCAACAACACTCTGTAATGTGGTCCGACGCATCATTCCTAAAAGTTGCCGATCGCTCTACTCTCACCGCATTGTCAGTGCGAGTTGGTGAAATAAACAATTGCCTGGGTGAACAAACAATTGCGTTAGCACACTTGTTAAACAAACAATATAAGGTCAGAGCAGAGAGCGTTTAAACATTCCCCACTACTGTTATCAGTTATATTTATAATTAGATTCTAAATGTAAATGGACTTTAGAAATTAGATTTTATAATAAGTTTTATTAACCATGGAATATCCCAAGAACGTTAAAGTTGACAGAGAGTGTCGAGCATTTAACAAAGATTGAATACCGAAGTATTTTTCGTAATAATCCGGCCCGTCGAGAACTTCATTTTCCCACATCTGGCCCGCCAACTAGAGAAATTGCCCACCCCTGGTCTAAACAGTCTTGATGGTCTAGAAACGTATGTGATGTATGTATGTATGTATGATACAAAAAAAATGTTGTTTTTTTTACATACAAAGCTCCCCCCCCCCCAACCCCCAGCTATGCCCCTGGGTGCAAAAGAAGCATAATAACAACAGGTGTTGAATGCATTATTATACTTCTCCGAACCTAATCAAAACCAAACAACAAAATGGAAATATGTGGTGGGGCAATAGCAGAATACTAACCAAAATGTGTCAGGAAATAATCTGAGCTAATATTGCAGTCGAAACAGAAAATACCTGAAATTTAAAGTCAATTAACACTCACAAAACTTGTTCGCTAGATCTATCTGGTATCTGATTCCCTTTGTCAATTTCAATTACAATCCCAAAATCAAGTGGGTTGGATGAGTGAACACATACTACTACTTTTGACTACATCTTTCAATCTAAAATCTTACTTCAATTTTTGTTTTCTTTTCTGATTCTATGATCCTTTTTATTTATTTTGTTTTTATCAGTTACATTATGGTCTATTATGCTGATTATGGAGTCGAAATAAACTTATACTTATTAAGGTCATTTTTGCCAGTCAGTAAAATCAATCAAACATTATGCTTTGTACCATATCATGCATGCTAGTGTTATTACTAAATTCTTTTCACAGCATCAAATTATAAATACTCGAATAATAGCTAATTAAAGTAAATATGACATTTTTTGTCAAAGTGTTAATAGGATTATTTACACTAAATATGGAATCAAAACAAGGCATAGGATGAGAAATGGACAATTTTGGTTTCGAGAAAAATAAGAAAATTTCGATTTACAATTTGAGATAATTAGATCATGTTACAGTCATATTTTATTGGCAATGACAGAATAAAGTTGGGACCAGGGGTGTATTTTGGTGGGCTATATAGGAACTTTAGACATCTGACCAGGCCACACAAAGAAATTAGTTTTTTATTCACACAATAAATTAAATTATCACAAGAAGAATAGAATGTGTAAGAAAGACTATATGAAGACCATATTACACAACTGAGTAACCTAACTCAAAATATTTTAATTTATTCTGTCATAACTATCTTGTAGTTTATTCTTTCATTTTAAAATTTGCAAGAGGACAGTTTTTTTTTAAATTGGGGGAATTTAGGAAGAGAATTGAGTGAATCTCACCCAATATGTGATTAAAAAATATGTACCAACATGGAGGTAACTAATTTTGTTCGCCTACTTTACATCAAGTTGTATAAAGGGACTGAAACCTATGGGGGTATATTCACTCGGCTAACACAGACAGTTCTCAAACTCCTAATAGAATAAAATGCCGAAAATCGGAATAAAATTATGCCCTGAACATAATCTGGCACACACACCACAGGAGTACCTATTTTTCACTTGAAAAATGCTTGCCTATCCAAGTACCCATATCCTCCATATTTTTTAAAAGTTTCCACTCTGATATATTTCAACTAACACTATTACTTTCAATCTTTTATACAGAATTTTAATAACACTAGATTAGCCAATATGGCAGACCCACGGACAATAAAGAAGAATTTATTACAAGACTTAATGCAAAGAGCACGTTCATCAACACACTCAGCTAGTCCAGGTGGAGTAAAGTTTCTTGGAACGCAGAATTTGTCTTTAAAAGGTAAGTTGGATAAAAACTCATTTTTCAATTTTTTTTTAAACTTTAGCTGTTTGACTCTGTGATTGCTATTTTCTAAAATTGGATAGTTTTATCGAAAAAGAGATAGAATTCTGTACAGGTAGTCATTTATGTATGTATTCATGAAAATTCAGCTTTGTTTAAATAGAATGAACTTAAAATTCAAAATGATTTATGAGATGTATGTTCTGTTTTATCCCAAGTTGGATGGGTTTCGTTGTGGTAGCAAAGTAAAATGTCAAAGTAATGTTGCAGCTGTTTAGGTCAAGTTAGACAACACTCTAGTAATGAATAATATGCCAGACTCCTCAATTACTTGGTGTGGTTAAAACTTTTACTTGCTCTGCAAGACAAGATAAAAAGCATACGTGTTCTGGGACTTAAAAAAGTTTGAGAAACGTTGAACTTATTTACATGATTGTTAGTTTTCTGGTACAATTCAATCTTTAGTAACAAATTTTCTATTAAGTCACTTTAAAAATTAGGAGTTAACATTGGTTTGTTTGTTTGATTTGGGTCAAGTTGTTAAAGAGGTTTCAAATAAACCCTGTATATTTTGTATGATGAAACTAGAATATACATAACATCTAATAAATTACCTAAAATCTTTGAAATCAAGTTTAAACCCAAAATATAGGGGTATGTATTGTGGTAACAGATTAAATGTCAAAACAGAATTCTCAACACAATACTGCCGCTTGTTTGAGCTGTGTAGGTCAAAGTTAGACAACACTCTAGTAATGAATAATATGGCACACTCCTCAATTACATGGTGGGGCGGTGTGGTTGAAACTTTTACATGTTTAACCAAGCATAGAGTATAAAAAAACTATTCTTTCATGTATGAACTATCTCTGGACCATATTTAACAGTAATATAATTGATTATTTCCGATTCCAGTTTTGGTATTTGGTTACAATATTCATATCAAATTGACTGTGACATAACATATTAGCCGAAGGATTTACGTACTAAGAATACAGATACAAATGGAGAGATATATTTTGCTGAGGAAAGGAAGGCATGTAGTATTGAAGTCCAGTTGGTATTCTGGGACTCATGGAATTGGATAAAACAGTAGCGGGCAAGGTTTTCTGCTTTTTTTTCCGAAACTTAAGCCAGAATTCTAGAATTTGGAACAGGGCATAGTATGGAAAGAATGACGAACAGAATATAGATGAGAAAACAATAATTATGTTTTTTAAACTGTAATGTTATAATCAGGGAAGGCCAAAACAAACTGATTCAATTCATGTAGTATTGAAGTTGGGGTATCTGTGTTAGAGTAGTCAGGTTTGATAAAAACCCATTTTGTAATTAACTTTTGACTAATAGCATTCATTGTGCAACAACACTTTTCTCTGAACATTTTTGGCATAAATCATAATTTTAATGCAAAAATGATGAATTTAAAATAAAGAAGTTTATTTTGACTTTCAAAACAAAAATTTATAATTTCGTCAAGATATCTGCCAGATAATACAGGATAACAAGTTATTAATAAGATTGTAAATATGCCGGATATCTAGATTTATTTTTAGAACTGCTTTCCAATAAGGAAATAACAATAAACAAATATTTAGTGAGACAGATTGCCTCGCGCAATGACTCTTAGCATTTCCCACCTCTTCGAACTCATCAACCAATTCTTGACCCCAATTTCAAAATTTTTGAAAAAATATCATTGTCTTATTTTTTAATAGCAAATCCAGTCCTAGGCAGTTCCAAATCATAACATCACCAATAGTTTGGTGAATTTGTTGAGCCATGCAAAGCTAAGGATATTTATTCCTTCTGATTTTTTTCATTTAACTGTGCATTTGCACATCTAAACCTTTGTTCAGGATTCAAATGCAAAAAATTGAAAAAAAAAACGTTATAGTTTTTTCACTTTTCTTCTTCAGAAAAGGCAATCTGTATAGGGAAAAGCAAAATAAAAAAATCAGTAAAATTAATGCCATTTCATAGTACCACATTCAGTTGCCTTGTTATATCTTGATACAATATGAACTAGTTTTTATTGGAACCCTAGATTACTATTTCAAATTACTAGATTATGGTACTTATTCAAATTTTCGCCATCGAAGTCTCATCAAAGACTTCATTAGTTGCCCTCAAATTTGCTTTGAGATGACATTCTACTTCTCATTCTGAGTGAGTGTTTGTGACCTCACTTTAAGCAAATTCCAGAATAACATAAACCTCAACATCAATTCTCAATAACTTTACAATAGATTATACCTAATTAGACCTGGATTATCCGTAGGTCTTGGATGGGAGTGTTGTACTTGATTTTCATATTTATATGTTTTGATAAATACAGATTACAAACGATTATGGGTTGAGATATAAGATGATTTGAAAGGAGCAAGAAATTGTAATTTTACGGTCTAATTCGTTTCATATGAAATAGGGAAAATATTTGAAGCATTAGTAGAAATTTGAAATTTAGAATAGAAAAATACATAGATAGGTGTTTAAATGTGAGAACAGCAGTTTTGCTGTTGCTGGGCTCCTCGTCGTCGTAGGGTGGTTCACTTGATAAAGCTATAATAGTTCAATTTTCAAAAACTTTACTATCATTTTTTCTAAAATACCAGGAAACATTTACCATTTCCTAAATAGAATTATTATTTAAAAACAACACGAAAAATCATTTCAAATTTCAGTTAGACACAAATAGATAGACCTAAATTTTACGGCATTTCAAAATTGAATGCCATATTATTTTCCTTCTACAAATTTCCCTCCAACCTTTTTCTTGAAATGTCAAAAGAAGCATGAAATACAAGTGTCAGACAGTGTTAATATCACAGGGGATTATAAGCGGATCTTATTCTATTTTTGGGATTCAAAATCCATATTCTGTCTATTGCCGGTTGGCTAGGTAGGCATGAAATGTAAAAAGGAATTTTTACGAAATAGGGAATGTAAAAAAATGGAAAGTCTGCGGGGTTTTAAATATAGAGGCTTCCTCTTTGTAGCAATAATATACAAAGTAATAATAATACAAAGTACCTTTCAGAATGTTGCAATGTGGTTTCGCCTCAAGTTATTACTATAAAAAGATTTAAGACTCAGGAAGTAAGAGATTTAAAGAACATTAAAATGTGGTGTAAATTTTAAGATATCAACTATGACTGTACTACAATATTTCATACCGCTATAAAAAATATGATAAGTTGTTAACTTAATTTGCATAAGATATATAGAAAACCTAAAGGAAATAGAACATAGTTTAGCTATATTATTTAACTGCAATTGGAGATATTGATATCAAAAACGATTGGGTGCAATTTAATTGTATTCTCGCAATATAATGAGGTTCAAATTTATTATGATTATAACAATTTTATTATTCTTTTCATGTCACTATAAAGACTTTAGAACAGTGATGAAAACAAACCAAAATAAAGAGGGACAGTATATACGCAGGCCGGGAGAGGGGTACTGTCCGACTGGGATGTCAATTGTGCCCTGAGAAAATTTTAAATAACAAGACACTAAAATAGACCGCAAGATCGATTGTAAATTCGCCAAGCATCGCAGTTTGTTATGTAATGAAATTAATAATTGTAATAGGTAGGTAATAGAATACACGAGTAATAACATACAATACAATCAAAACAACTTTATGGTTTAGTTGTTACATTCAAACTACTACTAACTTCTTAGGAAGTACTTAGGATTCACAAGTAGACACGACCGTGACCAATTCAATGAGCCATCGACCTGTATTTGCTTTGTTTACATTCTGATTTATTTATTGCCACCATATGGCGGTCACATATTGCTTGTTTATAATGGAAACCATGTCCACTGCCTGGAATGGATGTTGTATACACAGGGGATTAAAAAGGACATTGCAGGACATGAGTAGAACACCATTTACTGGGAGTGAATTAAAATGAACAAAATTGGAAAAATGCTTAGAGAAATTTAAATTTTATGTTCCTTTTGAATATAGATATAGGCCAAAAAAGAATCTGGATTATTTGTAACATATTCTACGGTGAAAACATAACTTTAGTCATCCTAGATTTCTCAAACTTTTGGGGATAATCATGCACAAATACAAGTTTGATTTCCATGGGAGGAATTGGATATTTATTATTTTTTTAAGAGGGGGAGGAGGAGGTGAAACCCAGTGATTTGCCCCCACAATAATTTTCATAACATCTGGAAACTAACTGCAATATTAGTTCATGTGAAGGCCACTATTGGCATCTTCTTGACATAGATACTTCATTTGAACTGAGGATTAATGATAAAATAACATAAATATATTTATGTGTTGTTTATTTACATAACACCAATAGGATATCTGAAGTATGTTAAGATATAGCACTGAGAAAAAGTCTAGATATTGCTATATAAAGGATGGTGGCCATTTTGTAATTCAGTTTCAAAGAAGGAAGGAGGCTGGGACCTCCTGAAGTATGTGCACCAAGATGGCGCACAACCTGAACATAGTATGTGTACCAGGTTAGGGTTCAGGTTATGCGACATCTTGGTGCACATACTTCAGGAGCATCAGGGGCTGTACATAGAAGAATGATAAAAAAAATGTTCATAAAAATCTCTAAGTTTTTAAGAATCTAAGACACTGGTTGTCAACCAGTGGGCCATGGACCACTGCTGGGCCACAAGAACGTTTTCAAGTGGGCCACAGACCTATTAAAAATTGCTAGAGTTGTCAATATAGTTAGTTGAATTCGATGGTAGTAGCAATGAATGATGCAGTTTTTTATTACAAAGTGGTAATTTTCACCTAGTAATTGCTAAAGTGAAATTGTCTATTTTCGCAGAAAAAATTATGTTTTTTTTACATTTTAAATTTTGTTAAATGCGCACAATTTATTTTCTTCTGCAACCATTTGCTTTGATAGGTGCGTAAGGCGTGTTACGATTTGCAAATTTTTATAAATTCACCGTTTTAGGTGGTCGATATACGATTCATATATCTATCTAGTTTATATATC